GCCAAGACTGTTGAATTTCTGAATTTCCAGCAGTAAGCATTTTTTCTACTATTGGACCAGTTCATTATGATTTTTTTGGTGATAAGTCTACAAAATCATAGACAGAACTCCTTTTTTAGTGACTTCATGCCTCACTATCAATTTATTCATTGCTGACGTGCACTTCTAAATTTGGTGATAAGATCTGAAAGACGTTGACTTTTCTAGAAAAGTGGAGGACTATTTACCGCCATTTGGTCATGACTTCGCATACTCCATCTCAAGTATTTAAGTAGTAACTTTTAGAGCAGTGGTGTACCGCAATTGGATAAGGCTTTTAGGAAATATTAACAAATATAAGATTTCTACTTGTTTGGAATCGATATTTTATATCATGAAAGAAAAACATGAAAATAGAAGAGTTGTCCGAGGAGCGCGGTCTAACGGTGATAAATAGTCCTACCCAAACTTAAGAGCTCGTAATTTACGATCTAGTAAATTTTAGCACAAATAGTGTGTTTACAGCATACTAAAGTCTAAAATTGTAAATGTCGAATTTCACATTATCGAAATTCTTTGATCTATTGGTACAATGAGCATTTGCACTATGCGCATTGACAAAACATGCTCTTTAACTAGAGAAATGCTTTCTAAAAAGTGCAAATCGAGTAACGAACCTCGAAAAATACTCCAAAGAATATATCTCCATCAGTCCGAAAATACCAACTAAGAGTTGTTGGTTCGGAAACATTGACTGTTATTTGGCGTCTGTTACGAGCTGGGATGTGCAAGCACTCCAGATGAGCGTGCATTTCTTGGTTGTCCTTGTTGTGGTCCGTCTGGTTCGGCTTGGCTGCACCAATACATACTATGCTCTATAAGGAACTTTACATAGAGTTGAAGGAAAATTCTCTTCATAGGTCTTACATCGTCTTTTCCACCCAAAGTGGTTGGTATGTGCTCCAAACCTATGTCTTCTGTGAGTTCTTTCAAAAAATTGTTATCGTGCAAGCGAAACCGATCCGAAAATCCTGCCGGCATCATTGCTTTGGCAAGTTTATAGGGAACATGAATCCACTTTGCAATATTAACTATGTCGATTGGAGTGACCTAGTGGTGAGTAAATTGGGTCACGCATTTATATGAGTGAGTGGTTCAGCATACCAGCTCCGGGTAGTTTTCATAATGAAATAGTTGAGAATAATATGCTAGCGTGCCATTAGTCACAAATACCATTGTGAAAGGATTAATCTCATAGCCAGTCATGTCAATGATATGCCGTATAGAACTTAGCCGTCCAGTTTTTCTTTCCTAAAATGTACTCATTTAGTAGTTAAAATCTGCTGAAAAAGGTCGGTTTTGCTATTTTTGTTTCAGCGCAAATTTAATTGTTGTTTCAAAAAATACGAGGTGTTAATATGAAAGTTGGAATGGATGAACATCGTAACACAATTGTAAGGGTATCATTATATTACAGAAAAACATACGAAAATCTCTAACATATTTGCGATGTAGAACAATAGCTTTTTAGATTTGATTCGTTACATGTGCAACTTATTCTGATATAGGTCACGAATTTAATAGTATTGAATGAAAGACGGTACACCTGCTCATAGTCCTTTCTGAAAGTTCCTTTATTGTATGAATAGGATAAATGCAGTTTCTTTTCTTCAAAATGAAGTAGAATAAGGAAGCGTAGTCACTGAGAGCATACCTGTTCCATCACCCTACGAAGCATATATTCAAACTGCCAAAATTGATACTTGCACACTTGTGAACTTTGAAGGGCACAAGCTAGTTCCTAAAACAGTTGATGAATGAGATTAGACATGGAAAACTTTCCTCTACAGTTCGATAGAGTTTTACCTCCACAGCTATAGTAGCGTATTCTATGTACCATAGAAGTCTATTTTTGTTATCCGTAACATCAAGGATTTCTCCCTTTGGCATGAGCCTTTTCTGGAAAATTGGATTCTCATCGAATGTCCTCACTGATTCGCTATCCTGAAAAACTGTACTTGCATACCACGCTAAATGTGCTAAATATCTTACGGTGAAACGATCAAGCTTCGATCTTATGCTTTTTAAAAACTTAAGGTCTGAAATATTTTGGTATAATTCACCAAATCAAAATAAGGTATGAGACTATAATTTCGAGATTTCTTATTGATTGTCTAGTGATTGAACTACTGCTAAAATTATTGAGGGAAATGGCTCAACTGCTGAACTGTAGAAAATATATGAATCGGAAAGGGGGCAATCTACTTTCTCTTGCGTTGGAATGCAAAACCGTGGCTGAAAGCTGGCTGGACAAGCCGCATACACTTGAAAATTTTTACAA